TAATGGCCTCTCACGCTGCATGGAAATCTGCAAGGAGCTATATGCGGTTTGCAGAGAACAATTTTGCTCAGGATGTGTAATAATCACTGTAACTGTCTAGTCGCCCTTCAGGTCCCTTTGGATAATGTTACAGTAATGCTGTGCCTCTTAATGTTTTATGAGTGGCGTTGAACTTTACAGGCAGAGGCTGAGAGGCTATAAAAGCTTCTTGGCTTACAACAACAACAAAAATCTCGGTGTTCGACAGCAAAGAGGGCTTTCTTTGCCTTGTGAGGAAGTCCAGGCCTCGGAGGCTTGCTGGTCGTCCAGAACCACCCCAGCTAGAAATGCTCTTTGGCGGCTCCTGTCTACGGTCGTCCATGGGCGAGGAGGGGGAAATCCAAGCTTTCTGAATCTTATTTTAAGTGGTTTGCCAACAATCTCTCTAGGCTGCAATAAACTCTCATGATTAGCAATCTTAAAAGCCTTCCCTCCCCCACAGCTTCTGGATGGGAGAGGAGCAACAGTCCCAGAAAGACATTAAATTACCCTTCACGTGGTTTTCATATCGCTCTTGTCCACCATGTTAAGGACTGTGGCTCAAAACCCCCATCGACGCAGCAGACCCCTCCAGAGCCTCTTTGTACCCACTCGGAGCAGAGGGGAAGGGGTGGAAACAAGACCAGACGTGCCCTGGAAAGCACAAGCGGGGCACGGGGCCCTCGGGAGGTTCTGGCGAGGGAAGAAAATATATTGGGGGGGGGGGGGGGGGGGGGCCGCCCCCCGGTAGACCCCGAGCTATTCCGTGCCCATGGCATGCACCTCAGCCCTGCCGAGGGCTACAGGGACCTCAGAGCCACCACCTCTGCGTAGGACAAGCTAATTCCCATTGCAACCTCCTGGGATGCCACTTGGACTGCCTTCCCCTGCCTGATCTGCTGCTCTGTATTCTGCTCCCCACCCAATCTACTGCCCAGCTTTCTGCTCCCCACCCCATGCTCCCTGCCTGATGTGCTTCTCTGCTTTCTGCTATTGGCCCCAGTGCTCCCTACCCAATCTGCTGCTGTGCTGCCTTCCCCCCACCCCTGATCTGCCATGTGCCACCCACAGAGGCTGCCCATGCCACTTGTGGCATGCACTTTGCCACCCCTGCACT